AGCTTATTATATTACCGAAGTTCAAATGTTCTGTTAAACGTATTTTTACCAGTTTTTCAATAATTTTTGCCAACGACAGAATAAGAGAAATTGGGCGGTAGTTTCGAAGATTTTGTAGATCACTACCTTTGTAAAGAGGGATTACGATCGAAGTTTTTAAGAACGAGGGAAATGAACCCGTTAGAAATGAATGATTGATTGCCTTCGCCAGGGCATTTAGAGCAGTAGCGGGAAGATTTTCAAAGATTTTCATGAATAATTCGTCATTACCAAATGTCGATTTATTTTTAAATGAAGCGATTATCGCCTGTTATTCGCAAACATTAGTAGGGTGTAAAATTAGTTTCTCGTAAGAAATTACATTGCGTAATTTCTCAAGGGAATCATAAGGTGCGTCAGATTTATTGGTTAAAGTGGCGGCTATTGAACAATAATATTTGTTAAGTTCATCTATGGGTATTGGTATTTCTGCTCGTTTATTTTTACACTTTCCTCGAAATTCATTTATAATAGACCAAGTCTCTTTAGCTATATTACATGCTTGGGTAATCCTTTTTTGATAAAAATTATTTTTGGGATTACTATTACAATCGTAAGAAGTCAAAAGGTAGTTACTAGAATCGCATCCAGACCATTATTACAATTTGGTGCCATCGTCATGTTTTAGATGTTATCTTGACTAATAACTGATGTCAAACTAGACACGGGGGCCAATAACAAAAAAAAAAAGGAAAAAAACCTGTTAAAACTTGTCATACAACAGAATAGTCATGGTGGAAAAGTGGAACAAACTCCGGCTACAGTAGAATAATTCAACCACTAGGCTCTCTTACCACGTGATCCGCCGAGATGCCGGGGACCTTCAACATGAGATTCCTATCCAACGCGTTCAGTGCTGTAGTATCGAAGGATTTGACGGTACCACGGACATCGGATTAGTTAGTTAGGTAGTTAGTTTAGTCGCTGTTGTTATTATTGTTTTTAGTTTTTGTAGTTGGTTATGAGTAATTTACCACAAAATATTCTATAATAACCTTAAATTTCGTTTTCATATGAGTGCACGCCTATGGTAAAAGAACGAAATTGGCTCCTCACTTCGTTTCGAGGTCACCGAGAACTTTGTGAATTTATGAATGAAAGTAGTGGGAGTGGACTTAAGGCTAGTTCATGTTGGAACGAACATCGCATAAAAAGTGCGATTTAAAATAGCGTCGTGTTTATCGTAAAATAGTTGAAAAAATTGAATTTTTTTGCTATTTCCGCAAAATATTATACGTCAACATACAATGAGGTTATATTGCTTTGATTCTCGTTTTTTAAGCCCATACATCGAAATTGAATCCAAAATGGACGAATGTGTCAGGTTGTTCAAATTATATCAATTATGATGTCAAACTAGACATGGGGGCCAATAACAACAAAAAAAAAGGAAAAAACCTGTTGAAACTTGTCATACAACAGAATAGTCATGGTGGAAAAGTGGAACACACTCCGGCTACAGTAGAATAATACAACCACAAGGGTATCTTACCACGTGATCCGCCGAGTTGCCGGGGACCTTCAATCGCTCTTAACATGAGATTCCTATCCAACGCGTTCAGTGCTGTAGTATCGAAGGATTTGACGATACCAAGGACATCGGATTAGTTATAATAAATGTTTGGAAATTGATATTGTGTTTAGTTTATTCGCTGTTGTTATTATTGTTTTTAGTTTTTGTAGTTGGTTATAAGTAATTTACCACAAATCATTCTATAATAACCTTAAATTTCGTTTTTATGAGTGCACGCCTATGGTAAAAGAACGAAATTGGCTCCTCACTTCGTTTCGAGGTCACCGAGAACTTTGTGAATTTATGAATGAAAGTAATGGGAGTGGACTTACTGGTTGCATTTTTAGTATGCTCCGACCATGTATGATGACATATTTTTAAATTCACAAAATATATGAACTATGGTCGCAGTATAGAGCATTCTTGAGAGAGAGAGAGAGAGATAGATAGATATAATTCTCAAGTCTCTTTCTGTTTTGACAAGCGACGAGCTGTACTGTGCTATATGGTGCCTGGTGCCATTCAAATATCAAATTTCCATTCTAACCTAACACTTAATTTCTACAAAGAAAGATGTAGGTATTAACTACAGTCAAAGAATAAAGAATAATGTTTTACAGCTTACAGCTATCCTACATTTGCTCTAGATACAGAACAGACACAGGTTACATTGTTACATACAATGTGGGGGTTGTATGCAATCTGTGACATGGTCCTAATGATATGCTACAGAATAATGGAAAATAATGGTATTTTTAAAATTATGTGAATGTGACCTAGGCTCAACATAAAACAAAAGAAATGAAAACACATTTTTGAAAAGAGTTTAGATTTACATCAACTACAATCTAGAAGGTAAGAATTTTTTGATGTGTTCATACTTCAGTCATGGCTTCTCAACAGCTTTCCCAAAAATTTCAGCTAAGAAGAAAATCACTTGTTTCACCAGGTGCAAAAGGAAAGCCAATTTTGGTAACAACTAAGCGCAAGACACTGCCCAATGTAAGTATTTTCCATGATGGAATCGATGTTACACCGAAAAGACTCAATCCGGAAATTTTCACTGGCGGAAGGGAACGACAAATAAGTGTGTATGACATTAGTGTGGACAGAACTGAACGATCAGATGGAAAGACTTCTAGAAACACATCACTGAATTTATTTAAATCTCAATCTACAGTTCGGTTCAAACAAGAACTTGAACAACATTACACCACCAATTCAACTCAATATAAAGGAAGTATAACTTATGGAGCCAACTACTTTGACGTATTTCTTCTAGAAAACATAGAGGATGATCAGTCTTTAGTTTCTTCAGATGCAACTGGTTTGAGTGAAGAAGAAATTATAACCGACATGAAGAAGCTACCGACGCATATCAGTCTGATTTTGAGAGAAACAAATACATTCTTTTTATTGGATTTGCCTAGTTGTACCTCTCTTAAAGATACAGAAGAAGGTTAGTTTTATTCCTGTATCGTTTAGTTTTGGTGGTAAATTTTGTCAGGATCATAAATGTAACCTTTTTATCATGCAGTCAATATTTTTGGTCATAGGAAAATTTGTCGGCAAATTCCAGTAGACTTAAAAATCCTAATTCATAGTATAATCCTTGACTGGCATTACTGAAGTTTTTGACACCCATATATATTGTTTATTGAACAAAATGTTGAACAAAATTACCTTCACCTCCGAGTTTTTCAGAACTTCTAAGGAGGTGGAAATGGAGTGAAAATTAAATGTAAGGTGATATAATTCATTCAAATTCATTCTTTCGACTTTTGAATTATTTTAATTAATTCTTATTTATATCTTAAGTGGATGCCAGTTTGTTTGATTTTGTATTTATACTTCTTTAATTCTTGCTCAATTATCTTCTGTATGTTTTAACTTGCTAGTGTAGAATTGAATTTGTTCAAATGCCAAGCACCAGGTTGAGGACTGCCGGAAGCGAGGCTTATGTTAAAAATAATATTGACATGCAAATTAGGGGAATCCTTAAAAAAGTACTCACCCTCAGAACCTTCTTGAAAGCAAAAGAAGAAGGGTGTTATATGAACGCTCCTAATGACAATTTTCTTTAAGTAAAAGTTTGGTGTATGAATCAGTCATTATAAGCAAACGTTTAAGCAAAACAATATCAAAACTTTTGATCTTGAGATAATTATATCACAGAATAAACAAAAAACTATGTCCATGCTATAGTCATAACATCCAAAAAAAGTGATTAGTTTTGGGGTGCAAGAAGAAAAGAAACCTTTGAAGTTACCAATGATTTCTAAAGGCTTTTTACCAAGTTTAGTAAACAAAATGAAAGTGATTTCATCCACTCCAATCACTAAACATGACCTTAAAAAGATGAAAAATCTAAAATATTTCAATACAAATAGTTAAGGTTACGTCTCCTAAAAGTCTTCTGAAAAATGTATATACAATGAATGCTATCCTCTGTCTTCTCAACGAACTGAAATCTTCACTTCTTTCTCGCTTTTTAAAACAGATGTCTTTGATATAAATGAAAAATACAGAGGGATAAGTATCCTCTTGTGTATTTCTACACTTTTTGAACTAAACATTATAAACCAATTATTGTCCTTTTTCACTACAAATAAACTTCTCTCATAAAATCAGCATGGCTTTATGAAAGGTGAAAGTACAGAAATCAAATAAAATAAGTGAAAAAAGTTTCCATGTTAAACTGTTTTATTGAAAAAAAATGTTTCTATTCTATAGTTACAAATATATGTTATTATACTTGATGGGGTATTTATAGGAGATCTAGTGGAAGAAGATAATGAACAGTATCAGTTCCTTACAGAAGGTAAAGGGAGAAATCGAAAAGTACTTAATGCAGAAGTTCAAACAGTACCGATTGTAATGAAGACACGAAACACTTATTCAGAAAAGCTGAAAACAGTACCAGACTCGGCCTTTGTTTCCAACTGGGATATGTATGATACTTACCAAGAAACCCAAGAAGCCAGTTGTGAAGAAAGTGATTCATCCCAAGATAGTGATCTTGAGCATCACAAGCTGGATGACAGTTCTTCAGTAGACAGTTATAGGATGTCAGCAGATGAAAAACAAATGCTGAAACTCATGAAAAATCCCAAATTTTTGGAGGCAGTATGTGTGATAGAGAGGTTGTTGGCTAACAATTGTTACAATGAACAACAGAAAATATTTCGAGGATTGTCAGTGCCTGATAAATTCCGAGAAAAGATTGAATATAATTACAAACTGAACCTTCTGTGGACATTCGCCAATTCTAGTACAAAAGGTAAATATTTCAGTAAGGTAATAAGCACATTGATGTATATACACAAAAGTTCAACAGTGGTTATAACTCTTTTTTCTCTTTTCAAGGACAGAACACAATCACTTCAGGCGCTCTAAGAGCGGTGCCTGTGTGAAAGTAGTGATTCACATTGTATTTGAATCGCTGGAGATTGAATCCATTTGGGAAAACGTTCTCAGGGAGTTTATTCCACATAAAAGCCGTTCTCCAATTCCACTCTAGGTGGAATTGAATGTGCCAAGTCACTTGAATACCTCTCTAAAAGTATCTATAAAAGAGAGAAGTCTCCAACATTTCTTTGATGTTCCAGGATATCAAGGTGGCAAGTGATGTTTTAGTCTCCATTCAGGCGGATGGCTCTTTTCTGGATATAATCCAGCAGCTTCATGGTATGCTTAGGGGCGGAGCTCCATACACGAGAGCAATACTCCAAAGAAGGTCTGATCTGAGCTTTATGAAGCATCAAAAGTGGCTGAGGTATGTACATTTATCTGGTTCGGTAAAATTTCTAAGCTTTTGAGAAGCAGCCTTTGCCAAGACATATTGGTGTCCATTTTAACCCCCAACAAACTTATCGAAGCGGAATTGTCTGACCTAACATTATCATATCCGGTTCGAAGATATTTATCTTTTTGGAGAAAACCAATGCCTGGGTTTTCGTGACATTGAATTGAACCTGATTACTTTCACCCCAATTCGAAATCACGTCTAGATCTCCATTAAGATATGCAACCTCCTGCTGCCAGTGAAGATGTGCAACTGCACCCGATGTCCTTGAATCTAAATTGAATGACAAGTGTGCTGTCGTCAGCAAAGCAATATATTGGATTCTTGGTTTTTTCAGTAAGTCGTTGATATACAATAAAAAGGTGGTTGGAGACAATGTGGATCCCTGGGGAACACCATCGTTGATGATAAAAGTATTCCAGAGCTATCCATCGACGGCCACTTGCTGGAAACGTTCTTTCAGGAAGCTGAAGAGCCATACAAGAAAATGATCCGACAAGCCATAGCATTGAAGTTTGGTCAGCAAACCATCGTGCTACACACGGTCAAAGACTTTAAAATTATTAAGGGCAACAGCTCTTGACTCTCCATGTTTTTCGATTGCGTTATTGCAAATATGGGTGACAAATGATTATACACACATCGGAAAAGTCTAGGGATATTTTTAAAAATGGCAATAATTTTTTTTTAGATCGCTTTAGGGAAAAGAAAGTTGACGGGTGATTATTAAACGAATGTAACTTACAACAAAATTTATTAAATGATTTAATCGAAATTAAACGACCTCATGCATTTATTTTTATGATATTTAGTATGTTATAAAAATATCCCTAGACTTTTCCGATGTGTGTATATTATAAAATGTCAAGAGTAAACTTATATCATTATTATTATTACAAAGTTGTCAGTTGATCTTTGTTTCCGAAAGGCATCTTCAAGATATTAAAGCCTTCCAAATATTCAAGGATTTGATGATTTACGGCTTTCTTGTGATTTTTGATATCACTGATAGCAAAGTGACTGGCCTATAGTTGTTTGGAAGATTTTTCTTGCCCTTTTTGGAAAAAGGCTGAACGCGAGCAAACTTCAAACAAAAAGGACAAACTCCTTTCTTGTAAGATAGGTTGAAAAGTCTGCAAAATACTAGTGTGAATAAAATAGACTGGAGTGGGATGCAAATTGTTCAGAATTGTTCAGCTAGTAGATTTGCTTTTTCTATAGCCAACTACTTAACGTATATTATGCTCTCTCATATTTCTTGCAATATAATATTATGGGGTGATACTCATACTGCCCTTAAAATATTCATTATCAAAAAAAGAAAAATCAGACTGATTTTCAGTCTCAATGTGGAGCATTCTTATAGGAACTTTTTTCGAGAAAACAAGATTCTTACATTCCCAAGTGTTTATACAAACCACACACAACACATATAGAGCACGTGCCCAACACACACATGTTGGAAAATAATAAACTGGTCGGAGTAATGAGGAACAAGGTGATAATCCAGACAGTTTTTGTTATTCTTTGATGCTCTATCAGTGATGCGAAAATGGAATCCCTCCAATAAGATGTTTTGGAATCACTAAGAGGTGTTCCAATCCTTCAGGAAATAGATTTACTCAATCAAACGAAAATGTTTAGCACTTCTTACTATTTCTGAAGGTATCGTAGCTTCTGAATGTCCTCCCTCATTTGATTGCCAGATCGTCTACTTGCAATGGAAAGGTCAGTATTGTGACGCCTGAAAATGCTATCGTATAGCAAAATGCGAGTCGCGGTTTTGTAGACTTTCAAGTGAAAATCTTTCATTTAAGTGTTTTTTTAATACATTACGTATATTGGGTTATCATCAATCTCATCTAGTTAAGGATTTCTCAAAAGACTTGCATTTGACTTGCCCCCTTTGTGCATAATCTGATAATTAGATTCTGCAAGTTTCGTGAATCATCGGGTTAGCTTTCCAGTGGGACCCTTATGGGATCTTATCTAACAAAGTGCATGATGTTCTGTCCAGATTCTCACAGGTCTTTCATAAATTAAATGTCATAGGTAACTTAGGACCCACAAAATGACCAATTCTTCCAATTGCTGTGGTGTAATTTTTCTTGCATTTCTGCAAACTGACCCCGATGTATGCAACAAGGTGCTACAGCTTATTTTCACCCTCATGGTGGGGGCTTTGGAGAGTCTAAAAGGCAAACATTGTATTCCAAGCTCCTGTATCCTTGTACTGTGAAAGCTGTATATTGTATAGCCTTTTCTATGTTTACTTGCCAATGATCACTAAACATGTCTAGAGTAGAAAAATAATTTGCACCTAGTGAATATGTTAATTTGGCATCTATGTTTGAGATTGGGTATCTTAATTTTTTTCATCACCTCGATAATATAGACAGAATCATATTGATCCATTCTTTATTTTACTAGAACAACTGGTCTTGCCAATGGGAAATGGCACGGTTTTATTGTATTATAATTTAGGAATTCGTCAATTTGTTCCTTGATTATCATTCGTTCTTTCTCTGATATTTTAAAAAGTATATGCTTTGATTCACCCACATCAATCGCATGTATTGAATAAGCTTGTAAAAGCTCTGACGTACTTTTATGTCTCAGGTCTATGTGTGAATTCGATTGATTGGAATCCGGCAAACAGAGATGTTTTAGCAGTTGGATATGGAAAATTTTACTATACCGATAAATTAACTGGTTTGGTGTTGATATGGAATATTAAGAACCCCGTTCAGCCAGAACGTCGGTATACATTCGACGTACCTGTTACCTCCCTGCAATTTTCCAAATCTAATCCAGTTTTACTGGGTGTTGGTTTCGACAATGGGTCTGTGAAAGTTTTGAATGTCTCGAGCAGAGACAAAGAGATAGTCGGTGAAAATATGGCGACATTTGAACCGGTATGGAATATTTCTTGGCAAGTTGGACGTAATGAGAAAAAAGATGAAGAACTTGTTGAAGCTACTTTTGATGATGGTAGAATTTGTGTGTTCTCAGTGCAGCCAAAGCTAGAGGTATATGAAATCAGTCATGGCTAGTAGTGGTAGAACAAACTGAAAAACTGCTTTGCGGTAATTAAGGAATTCAAATGTGTGATTTGTGATATTGATGACTTATTTATTTTGTGGAAATTCATCTTCAATTAAATGATATCGATATAGAAATAAAATACTTTGTCTAATTTCTACTTACTTAATGTATTGATATTAATACGACCAAGGTTTCGGTTTTTACACCGAAATACTTGAGAATGGTGTAAAAACCGAAACCTTGGTCGTATTAATATCAATACATTAAGTAAGTGGAAGTATTTTATTTCTATATCATTTAATTGAATTAAAATGTCCCAAAACGTTCTTTGTATGACACAAATTCAGTTTGACAAGCTAGGTGTGCTTGTTAAACTGATAGATCATAACTTAAGGTAAAGATGAAAGAACTTTTTATCTCCAAAAAATCTAATTATGATAGACTAGCGTGCCGCCCCGGCTCCACACGATAGCAAGTTGATACTAAATATACATATAAACGAGTGCAATGGCTATTTATAGCCACAGGCCCCCCGGCCGGTACAGCCGCAACCGATATGTCCCTGCATTTTAAATCTGTAATATCTTCGAAAATATTCGTTTAAATCATGCTGTAAAGGGCCATATTGATCTATTTTAAATGCACAATTTATTTAAGGTAAGTACTTAATTGGAGAAGAATTAATGCTGTATTTCTCGAGAATAAAAAATGGTTAATGTGGGTTTACTTAGAGATAGACATATATCATCGCGGACTTTTTGGTAGTCCTTTTTGAGGTGTACAAATTGTAGTACATTTTTGATCAGTATTGTAGGGTTCAGCCAGCGTTTGCGATGTAAACGCAATAATGTATTTATTTATGACATCACATTAGAAACCTCTGAAATTATCAGTATTTCTCTACTATATTATGCATGTTATATACATATAAACCTTCCTCTTGAATCACTCTATTGAAAAAACCCGTATCAAAATCCGTTGCGTAGTTTCAAAGATCTAAGCATACATTGAAACAGACAGCGGGAAGCGACTTTGTTTTGTATTATGTAGTGATGTTGCATTTCTAGTTTCTTTTTATTTGATCACTGGGATAAAGTGGTAAACTAATACTTGTACTCAACACTTACGTTTCTTTTGTTTGATTTAGTTCTGATGATTTCAGGATATTCTTTCAGAAAACATTTTGTTTTCATATAATATATTATTTTCATTGTTTAAAAAAATAATGACATCAATTGGAAAGCTTCAACGTAAATATAATATCTAACAATTCAAATTCAACACCAATAATCATTTTTGGTTAGGCTTTCCTCTCAGATCACCTTAAAGATTTTCCTGTAGTGCTTTGCAGTTCCATAATTGGGTTGCATAAATGGTTCAACTAGTATAATCAAGTTCACTATTCAGAATAAATCATGAATAGTTTCCTAGGTAGAATACTTTTAAATAATTTGCAAATTTTACGATAAATAATTTTCTGGAAAACAGTGTTTCTTTTTATTTCAGACAATTCAGATAATGAGAGTAGCAAAAGCTGATGGAAAACTAAAAGGCTACGAGAGGTTGAAAAAATGTTCAAGTTCTGCCATTCCTGTTTCCCGATATGCCGCCGCGATGTTTGCAGTACCTCATCCCACTAGTAGGAGCATTTATTTTGTCGGAACTGATGAAGGAACCATTCATAAATGTTCTTTGAATTATCTCAATCGACATCTGGATATGTTTCTTGCTCACGACGGTCCTGTGCACCAAATGAAGTTTTCACCTTTCTGCAAAAAAATTTTTGCCACCTGTGGTGATGATTGGCATACAAGAATATGGGGAGAAGGTAATTCATTCATTCATTCTGTTCAACAGAAGCATAAATGCAAATTATTACAAAATATTCTAAATTTGATTGATATCTGCAAATTTTGAAGCTTATCAAAAAAAGTACCAAATTCCCAATTTCAGACATACCATAAAGCTTTTAATGAAAACATAGCGCTATTTTTCTATGCTTAAACACAAATAAAACTCAGGAAATAACTCTCGCAAATAGATCTTGGCAGCAAATTAAATTGGAATGGGCATATGACATCGTTATGTAAAAAGCTCTCAAGGTGTCTATATGCATTGATAGGACTAAGGATAAGCACATAGTGGGACGGCAAGCAGAGCGGAGAGGAAAGCGATGATCGAGAGTTGCGGTAATAAGAGGGTCGCATTCACATGTTTAATCTTCCTCTTGAAGATGATCACTTGGTGATCGAAACACGAAAAATGACGATTTGGTGTTGGGAAAGAACTCCAGTAATATTCATTACTACACCAAAGGTTCCAAACAGTATTGGAATAAAATATAAAAATACCTACTTGTTGATTTCATTTCATCGGCCACTGCATCCCATAGTTTATCCAAAATGAATCTATTGTGATGCTGAGCATCTCTTTGATCCAGAATCAGAATATGCTTTATTGTCGAAAGAATACAATTCTTGTTGACAAAGTCAGTTGTCGTACATGGATGTATGTTAAAATATAGTTAAAATTACACTTAAACACAGGATCTGATCAAATGTGAACAATACAAAATTCTCATTGTATAAACAAATAAGGGCTAACTGATCCTAGATACATGACCTAGGAGTAATGATTATGACTTTTTGTAATGACTAAGACTACTTCTCGTAAACAGATAACCATTATTGGAACCAATAAGTGTTTTATAATTGTATAAATACAAAATAGTTTGGTGACTAGTCAGGAATCTGCCATGAAGTCAGATTGTGAAAAAGATATTTGTCTGCTGAGAGTCACAGAAAATGAAATTCGTGGGTTGATAGAGCATTTCAATGCCAATGGAGATGATTTTGAATTGTACAAGGAGCGTATGAAACAGCTTTTCAAAGTAAACAACACAGAAGCTAAGATACTACGTCGAAAGCTCAGAAAGCTTTGGTCGATGTGTTGAAAATTTCACTCCACAAGTATCAATAACTGCTGAAAGGTTCAATGATCGAAAATAAAAACCAGATGAGTCAATATCTGAATATAGGTATCTGTATAGGCATCTTGTGAGAACTGTAGCTTTCTAGACCAAGAGGTCGTTTTGTGTGTGGTCACAGATATGAACCAGTCGTGCAAAAATTATTGACAAAGGACAATTCATTGAAGTTTGAGCAAGGCATTGAAATATGAGATGTCAACCGCTCATTCTGAATAAGTGATTCCACAAAATACAAATGTACATCAAATGAAGTCGCAATCAGTTCTACAAATAAGGAAAGTCAATCAAGATTCGCTCAGTCTTCAAAGCAGTCAAAGTATCAGTAAAACTCTCAAAGTCGTTCACCAAAATTGAATTACAAGCAAGCACAAATTGTTTTTTTTTTGTGCGGAAGACGACACAATCCAGATACTGAAAACTGTCATGAGCAGAAATCTATAGGGAAACAAGGTTTCAAATGTCCTATCTTTCCAAAATTATAATTGTGAATGAAATACCAAAACTTTTCATTTTTATACAATGCAAAACTCATTTGTGTTATTTAATTTTTTCAGGTATTTCAGAACCTATTCTCGAGTTCTTTGTATCAATGCAAAGCGTACAAGGACTGGATTGGAGTCCAACTCATTCGACAAATCTAGTAACAATCCGAGGACAGTTCATCGAAATATGGGATATTCAACGGAAAGTTTACAGTCCTCAGTCGATAACTGTCTCGCCAACAGGGTCACGAAATAGTGTGGTGCAGTTTACTACAAGCGGAACTTGCCTAATCGTGGGAGATGTGGATGGAAATGTTCATGTTTTTTCATTGGAAGATATGCCGTTCCCTCCCTTTTTTCAAGATAATCTCTTGTTTGAATCTTTATCCCGAGCATTAATAACGAATCCAACATTATCTGAAAAAGTGAAAAAACTTCAAAGGCTAGGTTCTGTAGAAGATCCAGAATAGTCATCATTGCAGGGATTGCTCTATTGATTATTTTCAATTAAACTTGAAAAAACTTCATTACGGGTACATTGTAATAATTTTTGAAGCGAATAGCTACTTCATAATTTTATACATTTTATATGGATATTTATAAATATATATACAGTGTCATCCCCAAAGTATGCACCATATGGGAAACTTATTTATTAAGGGTTTTTCGACAAAAAATTATTCTTGATAAAAGTTTGTGCATCCCATAAAACTAAACATGCATCAACAAAATACAGTGAAACACGTTTAATATACGAGGAGCCTTCAAATATTTGATTTTGAGAGGGGTAACATACTCTTATTTTGAAAAATATCGGAAAATCTTACTAAAAAAAGTTGTTCAGCATTAAAAAATACATCTAGATTTGAAGTCATGGACATCTAAGCAAAGTTTTATTTTTTACCCATTTACATGATAAATAATAGAAAAAAATACCTTTTTTTCATCAATTGAAAATCGAAAAAAATGAATGCCGACATCTCCCTGCAAATTAAAATAATCCACAGCTCGACACTTGCTCATTTTGAAACTGTACATAAATTTTTTACAAATACAAAACCACCACTACAACGACCCACTCTGTATATATTCCATGCCTCTATTTGGTTCGCTTGGTAAACCCATCAGATTCAGTCAGTTGCGCTGTAGGTTGGCTGCGCATAAAATTCGAGGTGGAGAATCTTAACCCCAATATGACGGAGAGTGAAATTACTTTGAATAAACATTTTTTTAAATTATGGCTTAATGCGCCTGAATGGAAGCAAAAGCCAATAACAGAGAGAGATATATTTTTAAATTTGAATTCCATGACAGATGGTACCGAGCAAATGATCTTATATGTTTAACACATTCGGATGTTTTATCAAGAATTTTCATATAACCATTGTGCCTTTATGGGGAATCAAACTATTTTAACTCAGAACTCAGCGTTTGCCTTATTATACTGACATGCATTATTTTCATGAAGTTCACGTCTTTTTTGACACGGCCAATCTCAATAAAAGTAATTTTTAACTTTGTTTTATAATTTTAAGATTTTCATTACTATCATCAAACTTTTTGATGATAGTTAATCCCTACCTTCCATATACTGTTCCATATACTGTTGATCCCTACCTTCCATATACTGTCTTCAGTCGTTAATCAAAAACCTATATATGGCTGCAGATGCTGTAAATATACACGAATTTGTTTCAGTATATAGAAGAATGGTAGTCTTTGGAGTTCTTTTATTTCTGTAAACAACATAAAAGAAGAAGAATTCTGATGAGCTTAACTTTCTCTTAACATACCTTTAGTTGTTAAGGTTTAACCTTAAAAACTAGTGGCTGGGTACATGTCTTGGGACTTGGGACACACTCAGAACAACAACAATTAACCTTAAATTTTTTTTAAATAATCAACAAATGGATGTGAAATATTTCATTTACGAGTTATGTCTTTGATCTATTATTAAAAGAATATTGAAAATTCTGGTTGAAGTTTTAAAATTGTCGTAATTATTTGCGATGATGTCTCAGTCGACAGTGGTTCGGAATGTACCACAACAAGATTTGATGAATGAATTGAAATTCTTTGTGAAAGGTGCTACAAGAAAAGAAAAATGCAGTGCTTTAGATTTAACAAAATCTGCATTAACCCTTTTGAAGCATGTTCCCGCCTCTAGGGTTGCTGTATTTGAATATTTCTGCAAAGTTTTTGATGGTGCTGCTTTGAACTACATTCAAGGAATAGAGGTGATTTTCTGTGAATACAATTAACCATAGTTCAATTCAGACGTTGAAGATAATATAAAAAATCGAACATAATTACAGGGGTATCAAAAATTGTTATATTTGATTTTATATTTAAGGCAGAGATTAAAACGGGCAAATTGCCACCACTCTCGGAATCAGATGAACTGGTTGTCTCGGAAATTCATGGTGTACTAGCCATGTTGATTTCTGACAACCCAACAGCATGGGCTCCTACAATAAGTACTTGGACATTGGAACTACTGGGTGAAATCTCCAGTAAATACTCGGGAAGGGCGCACTTTTCAACAAGTAATGAAATCAGAATAGTCTTAGATATTACACATATTTGCTATTGTTTTAATATCAAAGCCGATGGCTGGTGGCTGTATTATAATGTCATTAAAACATCACTTAACATCAATATAATATAAATTTTTATATTCATATAGTTGACCCATATATTTCAACAACTGTGACATATGTGGAACTGAGCGATTTTCGACAAATGTATATCTGTATATCTTACTTATCTTGAAATTTTGTTTTTTGTTTGATGGTATCAAATAATAAGTCTTCAGTCAATTTCTAATATCAAATATTACTGCACAATCAGCCACAAATTTTATTGTGTAATATTTTATTGGATTGGATGTTCTTTACCGGCTTAATATTCTATCTATTTGGGATACTATAATATAAATTTTAGTATTATTTGCTCGCTTTTTATGTTATGTAATGTTATAAGTAATTTTACTTTTCTTTCAGATTTGAATGAGACCTTACAACTCTGGATGGCATGTAGGGCAACTAGGACATTGGTAGATGTTAATACTAAGTGTTTATCAAGTCTTATACACTCTGATACAGAAGCTTGCATTAGTGCTCTTTTAGGTAATGATTCCATGAAATCTTTATTTTTACATACTGAAGTTTAATTTCAGACACATCTGTTAAACATTCACCACACTTTGATTGGGTAGTTGCCCATGTAGGTAGTTGTTTTCCAAACACAGTGATAACAAGAGTATTATCATGTGGTCTTAAAGATTTTTGTCAAAACAAATCTTATGATCAAGGTTGCAACTCCCCAAAACTCAAGTCAGTTGTTGGGATATTAGGACACTTAGCTGGTAGCCATGTTGAAGATATTCGTAAAGCAATCTTGAACATGTTCAATGTAAGTTTTTTATATAGTTGTACTTATTTGAATGCAAGTCTTTTTTATTTTTCAGTGGAGTCTCCGAGAAACTTTTGAAGATAATGATATGAATAGACTGCAGAAGAAGGCTACAGTTCCTTATATATTACAACTCGTGTACCTATCTTCCACACTGTTATCTTCAATATGTACAGATACAAAGAACATTTGTAAGTTATATTTGAGAATTCCCACCTTGATACTTTTTTAAAATCTGGCATTCATTTATTTAATATGTGTTATAATGCAACAGCTTTCAATGAGGTAATTATAATCCCTCAACAGAGTACAGTGGACCCGCCCTAATCAGAATGCTTTGTAATCCGGCCACAGGATAGTAAACAATCAAAATTATCTTTATTTGATGTTTTCAGGGACCTTGATGATTATATCTCGGTGTAGATCTGAGGGTTGGGTAAGGGCAGGTAAAAAAAATATTGAATTCTTTCAAAATTGTCACAAAATAGCCAGTTATAGCAGTACACTCACATTCATCACTAACAACATGATTCTCCTTTTAAAAAAATTACCACAGCTGTCAATTTCTTGAATTTAGGTTCAAATATCACAATATTACAGCAACTAAGCCAACAATCGACTGATCACTGTTGAAGGCGACATGCCAAATCGAGCCGAGATTACCAGTCATTATTACTCTGATTGCTAAGTATTCTAGGATCCAGGGCCCCATGTAATCCAATAAGCCTATTACCACTATTGTGGTTGGCGCTTAATTTGTCAGATTACAAGGTACTATTAGTTAAAAAAAATCTGGACCGATGAGAGTCTCTATAATCTGACGAATTTGATAATCCAACATCGCCTTGCAAAACGTTTATTGGATTACCGCGTGTCCACTGTATTGTTTTTGAATTGATGTTTAACTTATGACTTATAACAAAATGTTGATGTTTTTTGAGTTGAAATTTAATGCTCCATATCTGCAAAGTATAGGCCATACCTTGACAATATAGAGTCAAGCAATATTGTATGAGTAAGATGTAGGTTGGGATTTTTTTTGCAATGTTTTGTTTTTCGCCATTGAAAAAATCAAATATGATGGAGTTTTCGAAGTGTAGAAGGCGGACAACAGAAAATTGAGTTGAAAAAGAAAAATATTTTGTTCACCCAGAGGACAACTTTTGCTTTTCAAAAATCAAGAAATAACTATGAAAGCAGACCGCACACATATATACATAAGAATTTTAAATAACCTTGCAATTTGAATTGAAAAGCTTTTAACATTTAAGGATATTTGTTATTCAACTTCTCTAATTGATTTTTCAATTATATTTTAGTGACAGTAGATGTGGTTACAAGGCTATATCATTTTGTAGAACATTGGTGCCGATATTTTGGAACACCCGAGGCATTAGAAGTATGAAATATATTTATATGATTTCTGTAATTTTACATTGATAATGACCATAATTGATTTCAGGAATTGGTGACCACATTAATTTTACGGTGTGAAAATGGGGGAGAGCAGATAATAAAACTCCTTTTAACTTGCATTCATTTATCTAAAGTAAGAGGAAATGATCAAATGAAAAATGAGATAGTGGAAAAATCGAAGGAAATACTTTGTAAGTTTCATTGTAGAAATATTAATTTTATAAAGGGCGTTTTTTAAGCTGATCCCACTATTGCTACTTCAGAAACGGTTAGACTTGCCAGGTCGGTTGAGTTGAACAAAAGTTTTCTATTTTTTAACATGCTTTTATTAGCTTCACCTGTATGTATGTATATATGTATGTTTGTTTGTAACTCTCTAGCTCTCTGTATTTGATAGATATGTTTTTTCATCATAAGACGAGCGTAAGGGTTGCTGTCATATTAAAATGGCGGTAAATCAAAACATTCGTACTGTTTTAATCAACAATGGCTGGGCAAAGAATATTATCTCTACAAACAAATAAGTTATTGGAAAAAACCATTGATAGTGCTTCACTTGTTTATAATTCAGTGGAGGCTCATAGTTGTGAACAATTGAAAAGATGGTTGAAACGTCATATGCGTCTGCAAAAAGGAAAAAAAGTGAGATGATTGAGAGGGGTTAGGTAAAATAGTATTTACAGTTTCATTCTTATTAATAATGTTAATTTATTTGATGCAATTGAAAATATATTTCAGTTGACAAGAGTATTACTTATGGAACTAATAAATAAATCAAGCCATTAATATTTTGAGGCTGTACATATGACATTATTAATTAGACAAATATGTAAATACTGAATTGAATATGTTTAGTAATTTTTATCAGAGGGAAATATTTAATACAACATATTATATATGAAATTTACAGTCAAAAATGCAATAAGGCATAATGTACGTATGTTGAAATTCCTGATAGCTTAGGGGATCAGGGTTTTGTTCAGTTGGACCACTTTCTCCAATGAAATGTAGTGAGCAAATATAAGTATCCTTTTGGTAACATCATCAATAGATTTGAAGCCTCTTTCACTCCTGCCACATTTTTTCACCCATAATTCACATTTTGCACATGCTTTAATATGCAATTTGCTTGATGATTTGATTTTTTTTTGCGATTTCAAGACAAGGCTTTGGAAAATTTATAAAATAGTATGTGTTGGTTTTGAATGATTTTTAGTACCCTGTATCACTTTTACATACTCCATAACAACACTGTTTTGTTGTTCCTTTTCGTACAGATAACATAATTATAATGGAGTATAACATTTTTTTTCTGATTATTTTGACTTACTCCTTTTTTTTCACTTTTTTTATGATTAATAAACTTCAATTTATATTTTAATTTTTAAAACATGAGTTGCGGGCTCTTTAACAACCTTTTTTATGTCATTGTTATGTTACAAAATTGCAATCAATTATGTACAGATCGATATCTTCAGATATCTTGAAATGATAATACTTACAGGGTTGGTTGAATTATACAAATGTTGTCAATTTCGGACCCTTAATATAAAGAATGTTTCAGTGACCAAAATTTGATGACATTTTATAACAGAAACGTTGAGAAACACATGTACCTTGATACTTGTCCATATTTGTGGTGATTATCGAATTTTGAACAAAAACTTGAAGAAATGCGGATATTCACATCCACCTGTAAATTTTCAAGAGATATTTGGAGTTGGTGTTTGTCTTCGAGTTCTAAATACGAAGAATATTGGTCTCTACTTTTCAAACATATCTGATCCGACAATTGTATGACCTGTTTGAATATGTTATGATAGTAGGTATTTAAATTAATAAAAAAAAAAACAAATGTCCATACTGGAAAAAAGTTGATTATGGAATGCAATGGACAAAACATAGGAACGGAAACTGATTCATATCGGATTATTACAAACAAAAGGTTCCTTTACCTTATTTTCATATTATTTGAAATGGTGAGGATAAAAGCAACAAACAAAATTTGTCAATTTCAGTATATTGTGGCCATAGATAGTTGTGATCATAAAACAAATTTTTATTTTCCCCTCAAATTGGCAACGTTTGTCTAATTTAACCAATCTTGTAAGTTACCACTTTTGAGAAAGCAAGAGTCTAATTTATCCAATCTTGTAAGTTACCATTTTTGAAACAGCAAGAGTTGAATGTGCTTTAAAAATAGTCGGTGTAAGTTACCATGCTGTGTTATTTATAGATTTTGATATACTTACAAACAAATTATATGCAATAGGTATTAGAGGGACATTTCTTGCATGGGTAATATCATATATGAAATTCAGGAAATTATATGTGACATGGGATGATACGAACTCTGTTATATTCAACGTAGACATTGGAGTTCCACATGGCTCAGTTTTGGGACCACTGATTTTTCTAATTTATATGAATGAATTTACCTCAACATCTAGGTACAAAATTAATATCACTTTTTGCCGATGATACTGCATTCTCAGAAGGAGCTGATAGTCCTGCGGAACTACAGTTAATGCCGACAAAACGGTGTAAGTTCAATTCTTCAATCGAAGACACTTAGAGCCGATGCAGGTTGATATAAATAATGTCACTATCTATCCGTCGCAAACCACAAAATTTTTAGGACTTCATATAGATTCTGAGTTGGCAAGTTACCATAAATTATGTTTGCTGCAAGATAATCAACACCAGTTTTTACGCATTGGTACAACTTAAAAAAGTTATGAATGAAAAGCATTTGTTGAACATTTACTATGCGATGGTTTATTCAGTACAATGTGCTTTTGTGGGGAGAGGGGATTAACATCAGTCGAGCATTCATCTCTCAAAAAAGGATAATACGTATGTTGTATGGTCTTCGACACACAGATTCCTGTAGACCCATTTTTAGGAAAAGAAAAATTTTAACACTACCATCTATATACATTCATAACTGTCTGATTTTTGTAAAGAAGAAGGAGCCTGAGTTTGAAACAAATTCAAAGTGTCACAATTACCCAATAAGAAATTGAAATCTAATTAAACTGCAGCAACACCGTACGAGATTGTTTCAAAAATCACCCTCTCTAGCAGGCTCAAAGTTATTCAATTGTCTGCCTTCAAATATAAAGAGTATCCCATAAATGTCTACTTTCAAATGGAAAGTTAAAGAATACGTTTCAGAGGGATGTTTTTATTCTATCAATGAGTATTTTGAGTATACTTCCAAATAATTGTGATCAATGTACTTGTAATCTCTATGTTATTTATTAACTCCATGTTATACATCTACATGTTTTTTTTTACTTGACGTTTCCTATATTATTGTTAAATGATCATTTCAAAGGAATAACTGAGTTCTTCTCACAACAGGTGACAGCCAGATTGAGTTTACTCCCAAATTCAGCTGTTTTTTTTATAGGAATAAGAGTTATAAAAACATAAAGATTTTTTGGTTTTGTTACTAAATGAAATTAATAAACTGTAATTCAATTATTTAAACATTCTGTGTAATGATGATGCAATGTTAGAATGTTGGGTGTGTTTTTTTCTTTTTTTTTTCACAAACAATAAATGTTTATCTTTCATTTAAAATAATTTGCAGCCAACATTTTACAAGAAATGGATGATTCAGTGAGGCATGGCCACCCTGTAGGCCTCATTTCATCTTTCATCAAAGAAACAAATGAGCTGAAAAAAATGTTGTTGAGTCCTGAAAAAATTGTATACGAAACAGCAGGACAGATAGTAGTTTTTTTAGGTATGTATGGTTTTTAGGTTGTGTAGAATTTAACCTAACTTTTCATATGAATTAGGTCACTTGAATCCATCAAGTTTGGTAATGGCTACACAACATTTGCTTCAAAATGCAACTACTCATGATCAGTTAGTGTTGTTGCTGAATTGCCTGACAAGCGATCTTATTGACAAAACTGCCCAACCGTATTCAGAGAAAGGAGGACATTTTTCGGTGGTACTGGAACAAATATTGAGTAGGCATATTCAGAAATTTTTCACATCAAATGAGGAAAATCTTGATCTCTCACAGATGTGGAAAAACCTACTAACATTATTGCGGTGAGTGTTTGATTGTTTGTGACCCAGTTGAAATTTTCATAGATATTTATTTTAACAATTTCAGATGGGAGAAAAGTGGCAGAGTAACCTGCCTCAATTCTAGAATTATATCGAGAACAATAGAATCCAACTTAACAAATTTAACATCGCTATTCACCAGTGAAAATCTTCATATGCATATAATTGCTGATATTTTAGATACCATGGAAATTCCTAATCCAAATGAATCTTATAGCCCATCCCTTCAAGTTATATTGAATCTGACCCAATCCACTGTAAATTATTTCTTTGCCTGTTGTTATGATGATGGTAAGCTTGCACAATAATTTGTAACTTCAACATGTTATTTTTCTTGTTTCAATCTAAATTTGTCAAAGCTGTAATGAGTATAAATACAAAACAAATTTACTGTTTCCCCGACAATTAATTTTTCACATTAAAAATGAATACTTTTTGAAATCGTTTAGTTTTGATATTCTATGAACCAGTGCTTATTTTTGAAGAGTAAATTATGGATACATAGAAAACTGTAATTTCCCATATTTTCAAGAATCATTTTTCTAATCAATATATAAAAAAGAAGAAGAATAAAGTTTTTTCTTTCAAAATTATTGCAGCTGTCAAAATGCCTTACTTTTTTGACCAGTTAAGTGCTAATTCAATATAACTTTATTGTTTGAGACAAATGTTGATCCAGGTTTTCAATGAATTTTGGTTTCCACTTTAAGAAAATAAGAGTATCTGTAGCTGTTACAATCATTACATCATTGAATTGAGAACTGAAATGATTAATTGGTTTCAGGAACTTCAAGAAAATTAAAAGGATTTAAAAAAGTTAATCGAATACTGAGAAGACTCTGTACCTATTCCATGGTTGCTAAAGTATTGGCTTTAAGGGAACTATTGGAAAGGGCATTATTCAGAACAGATAATGTTCTTTTTGGAGCTAATAACAATGAGCATGACCATGAAAGTGAAAAAAGCCTTCTGAAGCAAAATAAAAAAATAGTAAGTAAGACTTTGTAAATAAAAAAGTGAATGTTTTTCTGAAGTGAAAATTTCACCCAAAAGATTCGTCATACATACTTAATTTGTATTTTGTATATTATTTATTTTATATAACATAGATGTTATTGTTAGTTTGAAAAATTAGTCTACACCTCAAAATTATTCTTAAAAAGTTATCTACTGGTCAATTCATATGCGAATCTATGCATGGGGATTTCGTAAACAGTAGTATTAAATTATGTCAAAAAATCGACTCCCAACTCGTTTGATTCTGAAAATATATGAGAAAATCCGAAAAATTATAATTTCTATATTTGGACGTATCTTCTTTGAAAGCAGATACATTGAAAATCTGTTCAAATTCTGTCATGGGAACTTACGATGGTAAATATTCGTAATATTGCCGACACCTTTTTTTGCACCAAAAAAGATACCCATGATTATATTCAACACGTCATCTTTATACATTGTTCCACCTTATAAATTCTCGTCAGTTCGACGGCTTCACTAAAATATTACAATCGATTGGGGTTGCAAGGTTGCCATCACCTCACTGTAAACCACAGCGTAAATTTTGTCCGCCCTGGCAGTGGTGAATATTTGAGATATTAATTTTCTTGATAATTACTAAGATGTTATTAAAATAGAAATGTAGTGTGAAAAGAAGACAATTGTCAGCATCCGACTTGAATCGAATGCATTCTGCTCAATTGTGACTACTGCATGAGTATACTATGTATTCGATTTCAAAATTTCACAGCTACAAAAGTTTTAATAATAATAATAATAATAGCCTTCATTACCCAATAGTTGAAAACCATTCACAGGGTTAACTAAGTATGTTAAAAAGAAAGTAATATCGATCCTTATAATTACAAAGTTACAATTTGAGAAAATGAATAATAAAATTATAATTTTTGGGAAAGAAAGTTTTTGGCTTTCTACTACTTCATCTTGATACAAAAAACAAGGATGAGGGAATCTTCCAAGGAAAGGAAGGAAGTAATCAATTTTAAAATAAGTAACTCCATACATGGATGTGTAGATCATGCAAAGAAGTAACTTTCAGACACAAACTGAAAGAAAGTCCTCCTGAAACAGCTAAGTGCAGTAATTTATATAGAAAAATTATTCCAGCATATTTTCTGCGTAATTCAAGACTTTCAATATTGAATGTTATGGTAAGAGATTCATATGGATCGATCCTATAAGATTTGAAGTAATTTTAATAATTTTAGAAAACGACGTTGAACTTTTTCAATTAATGTATTATAGCAATGGAGACCATAGAACAGATCCATATTTTAATTTTGCCTTTACGAACTTTGAAGCCATAAACTTTCAATTCTTCATTTACTTTTGATCTAATGTGGTCGGAAAAAGACAAATTTTGATCAAAATATACACCAAGATCTTTAATTGACTTACAGTGAAATGGTATCTACTCGATAATTGTACTTGATGACTGACATTTTCCTACTATAAGACGCTATTTTACATTTGGATGCATTGAGATATAGTTTGTTAACTTCACACCAAGTCTGTATATTTTCTAATTGTCGTTGCAATGTATTACATTCTTCGATAGTTTTGAACTAGACTCATGATGATACATTGAATATGTAACCATCGAACCAGTATTAGTAAATATTCTATGTTTTAGAAAGTGGTTGACAGTGTTTCTCGGTGAATGTAACAAGTTTAAAAAGTTCATTGTTTCAAAAGGTAATAACAGTTTGGAAATATATGGGAGAACAAATATGATATCTGTATCAGATATTGAACTTCTCGGTTAATTCAAAAACATCTAAAACTAGACAACTAAAATTAGTGTAAGGAAAATGAAATACAAACAATTTCTGTAGGATGTACTTTGTATTTTTTTTAAACAATGTGTGCTTGTTACAATCATTGATTGTTTCATTACTTACACTACTCAGGTATACAAAAGATCTGTGCTTAATGTTTGTTTTTTGGAATGAACCATTTTGGTTAACCAACGTTTTGCTGTTCTGAAAATAATCAAACTGAAATATTCTAAGATAGTTTCAACAGTGTCAAAAAAAAGGAGGGCCACAAATGAACAGCAGAAAGTTTAAGAATACTGATTTGTAAATGAAACTAATTTATTGTGACCTAAAATGAAAATGATAATAGCAATAATATGTGTGATTGATGACTTGTTTATTTTGTGGTAATTCATGATCACTTCAATGAAATTAATAAAAACATTTCTTGTTCGTATATA